GCCTGGTTTTATATTCCTTGAAGTAATGAGATTAGTAAGCTTAATATCTATATATATAAAAGCCTAAGCAACCATGGACCATTGGACGTTTGACCAGTAGCTATGACACGCACTGACCACCAAGGGGCAGACGCTCAACGCACAGGCATGGAAACATGGAACAGACTGATGAATCTCAGAGGGAACGGGGGGGGCTAAGGATTAACCAAAGATCTTATATGCATACTAGAGGCCTGGTGCACAGATTTGTGCATTGGTGGGGTCCCTTGGCCTGGCCTGTGGGGATCGGGCTGAAACTGGCTCTCCAACATCCCTGAGGAATCCCGGATTGCGAGAGTGCACAGGCCAGGCTGAGGGACTCTACTGGTGTGGGAATCCATGCACTGGGCCTCTAGTATGTCTATAAATACTTATTTCCTCAAATGGTCATTACATTCATCTTAACCTCTTACTGGTACCATCATTATTAATGAGTTGAATAAAATTTCTGACCCAGGTTTACTTCATATTTGCCTGAGAATCATAATTTTTCCTTTCTGTAAATTATGCTTTAGTAGACTAAAATAGTTGGTTTAAGAAACAGAGATGTACTATAATGTTAAATAAATTCTGTGCTGGGAAAAGGCCTGGAATGTTACTCTAAAATAATTAATCTTCTTGCTGAAATAATGAATTAGATTGTTGTTCATCATGACCAGTTTCAATAATAATAATAAGCTAAGGATTGCAATTTTAATTTGATTGCAATTATATTTATTTTGTCACATATAAAGCTGTTTCTGTGTTTCCTATGGACAGGGACAAAGAAATAGAAAGTCAGAGAAGTTCAAGAATTGGCATCTTTAAAGTAAAGGAGGGTCCAGTGAATGTAGGCTAGAAAAGGTAGTTCAGTGGAGGGATCAATATGATGGTAATAAACACTCCCACAAGTAAAAGAGAATAGCAAGGTTGATTCTGAAATGCTCTTCTTGGAAAGAAAAATTGAAAGAAAGGATACTGACTCATCCAGGCTGGATTAGGGCAGACATGCCATGACTCCAATTTAAAACCCGGATTCTGTAGAAAAATATATCTTGGGAACATTTCTGGCAGAAAAAAAAGGCAGTGGTAACAGAAAGACTGCTCACAAAATCAAATTTCTGAAAGTTTTGGAATAGAATATGTTTAATACAGACTTGCTGACTATTTTTCTAATTAAAGGAAATCAGGTTCACTTATGCCTACTCTGTCTTAAATCATTCTTCCTTCAACTGGAAGACTAATACTTTAAATAAAAGATTGAATAGTATTTTACTTGTAAATCTTTCTTCGACCCCCATACCTTGAGTTAGGTCCCTTGTACGAACTCTCATACCATCCTGGGTCCTATGAAGTCACTTATGTAGTAGTGTTTTGGCTTGTTTTGTTTTCCTTGTCAGATTATAAACTCCTTGAAGGCAGTTTTATGTTGTATTAACATTCATATTCCCCACAACTAGTGCTAAAAATAAGATTTTTGTTGTTGTTGTTGAATGACTGACTTATTCTTTTGAAAAGAAAAAGGACAACATGCTTGGTGGCTACTTTCAGCCATTGGGTACCGGTTTATAACCACTGATTCAGGGCATCTCCATGGAAAGCAAGAACACTATCTAGAGTCCTGTTGAAAGAACTCTAGGGAGGCATGGAACAGACTGACATACCTCAATGTGGGGGTGGGGGATAAATGAAAGAACTTATATACTTATATGCATAGCCCATGGACATGAGCAATAGAGGAGTGAAGACCTGGGAGGGGTCAGTAAGGGATGGGAGGAGTGGGGGTGTGTGAAGGAGGCAGAAATTGGAGATATAATACTATCAATAATAAAATATACATTAATAAAAAAATTTAAGAAAGAACTCTAGGAGCTTGGAGAGGATCCCACTGGCCAGATAGGAAACAATATGAACTTCAATAATAATAAGAATTGCAATGAATAAAAACATGTCAAATATGTTTGAATTCATAAGTTCATAATGCTACAACAACAAAAACACTGTGTATGTTTAGAGGAGGAAAGGGAGCCAACTGATTATTCTGAAAACTGGTGAACAAAAATAAAGAATCAAGCATTTATTCTACCTTTCCTATATATATGATACCAGTACTAACCAACTAGTAGATAAAGGAATGCGTTACAGCCAATAAAGAAAAAATGGTTTCCCATCTTACGTTTAACTCCTTTATCCAATAAAGAAAAAAGACATTCCTAGAAGTGGGATTACTGGGTCAAATGGGAGTTCTATTTTTAATTTTTTGAGGAAACTCCATACTGTTTTCCAGAGTGGCTGCACCAGTCTGTATTCACACCAGCAGTGCATGAGGGTTCCTTTTTCTCCAAGTCCTTGTCAGCACTTGTCTTTTGTTGATTTGTTGATGATTGCCATTCTGACAGGTGTGAGATGGTACCGCATTGTCGTTTTGATTTGCATCTCTCAGATGATTAGTGACTTTGAGCATGTTTTAATATGTCTCCCAGCCTTCTGTATGTCCTCTTTCCAAAGGGGTCTATTTAGGTCCTTTGCCCATTTTTTTATTGGATTGTTTATATTCCTTTTGTTAAGTTGTATGAGTTTCCTATAAATTTTGGAGATTAAACCCTTATTAACTTTGGCAAATACGTTCTCCCATGCAGTGGGCTCTCTTGTTGTTTTGTTGATGGTTTCTTTTGCGGTGCAGAATATTTGATGTAGTCCCATTTGTTTATTTTCTCCTTAGTTTCCATTGTCCTAGGAACTATATCAGTGAAGGTATTGCTACAACATATGTCTGATATTTTGCTGCCTATGGATTCTTCTAAGATTTTATGGTTTCCCATCTTACGTTTAACTCCTTTATCCATTTTCTAGGAATATATTCCAATAAACCAGAAACACTCAGCAGATGAGTGGACAAAAAAACTGTGGTACATGTACACAATGGAATCCTATGCTGCTGTAAAAAAGAAGGAACTTTTACCATTTTCAACAGCATGGATGGACCTGGAGAGCATTATGCTAAGCGAAATAAGTCAGTCATAGAAAGATAAATTATCACATGATCTCACTCATTTGTGGAATATAATGAACAACATAAACTGACTAACTAAAGTGGATCCAGAGACATAAAAGCATCAAACAGACCATCCAACCTCAGAAGAAAGGCGGGGGGTGGGAGGGGACAGGGGAGGAGTTGGTGGTGGTGAGAGAGCAACCAAAGGACTTGTTATACACACATATAAGCATAACTTATGGACTCAGACAGTAGGGGGATGAGGGCATGTGTTGGGGTGGGGTGGGAACAACTGGGGGGAAAGGAGACATACAATACTTTAAATAATAAAGAATTAAAGAAAGAAAGACATGATAGAGCAAAAATATTTCCATTTTGCAATCCTCTAAATCAGTGGTTCTTAACCTTCCTAATGCCGCGACCCTTTAATATAGTTCCTCATGTTGTGGTGACCCCCAACCATAAAATTATTTTCGTTGCTACTTCATAACTGTAATTTTGCTTCTGTTATGAATCATAATGTAAATATCTGATATGCAGGATGTATTTTCATTGTTCACCACCCACAGGTTGAGAACCGCTGCTCTAAATGATCTAATGGATCTAGACAGTTTAGTAACCAACTATTAATAACATCATACACAAAAAACCACACAGATAATTAGACATTATGTGCTTCCTAATGAAAGAACACATACCACCTATAGGCTTGCCCCAAACAAACAAACAAAACTGAATATGGCCAGGACTCTGTATGTGACTATCAATTCCAGGAAATACAGAAAATCAAGAAACATGTGTAACTACACCATAAGACTATAAATCAGCAAAATCCAGGGTGTGGGAACCACACAGGTTAAATGACTGAGGGTCTTCAACAACTAAATTATAAGGGGGGGGAAAGGGAACAGAAAAAGATGGTATAGATTAAAAGACATAGCAATAACACAAGACTAAACTTTCATTTTAAAAGATACATACTTGAGTGATAAACCATCAAAGAAAAACGAGTGACTGCTTACTTTTGGGAGGAGAGATAGGCTTGTGGT